TCATATAGTGCTTTAGCCTAATTTGATAATTTTTTCCTTCCACTCATTAAATTTTCATGGTTTGTTTATATTTGTTTATAATAAAATTGTTTTCTTTCACAGTGAATTTTTCCAGTTTAATACTTGTTTCTAATGAAAATTTTTGTTTTTCAAAATGTAGTTATATCAGCGATTTGTGTCCGCTTGGTAAAAGTATAATTTTGTTGATCTTATTTACTGAAATGTGTTATTATTTTTGTAGTCATTTTAGGCGCAGAATTTTTAAGTGTTCTCCATTTTTATTTTGTATACTTTCACAGATTTACTTCATGCCTAGTACTATGTCGTTACCAAATCTTGTATTTATATCTTTCATGGTGATTAATGCAATTATTGTTTTTATTCTTACCATCTGTTTAAGATTTTCGAAATATTTAACTCTGATTTGTATTGGTAGCGTTTCCTAGGGCCCACATATACTTGATATTTTTAATCTATATTGTTGCGTTTTTGTTTCATCCACTAGGATTTGCTTAGAGACGCAGTTAACATTTTTAATGTTATATATTCCTCATCGTATGGTTTTATTGCTGTTGTTGGAGCTCTGGCATATATGAGTGAGGTATTGGCCTAACTATTTCTGTCCTGTGACTATTGTGTGCTATTATTTATTTATTTATGTTTACTTTTACTTTCAAATATTTCTTCGTATACCGTTTTTAGTTCTGTCCTTGCCAGGAGATAATCCTATCAAGAATCCCTCCTCATTTGTTCTGGCTGGGTAATTTGTATTGAACTCGAAATTTATACCTTATTAAAAATGTAGAATAATAAAGTTTTTTAAATGAATTTACTTATGATTAAATTTTAGATGTTGACGAATATAAGTTTAAGTAAAATATTCATGAAATTCCTCCATGACTAAATTGATCGATATTTAAATATATTTCAAGTTCCAAAATGTAGCTGCTGTAAAATTTGAAAATCTACTACTAATACAATTATTGGCAACATCGCAGGAGTTAAGAAGTGTACGCAAAATGGTAAATACGGATCCCAAAAATGTTTTATCCTGCTGTGGAGTCCACTTACTCCTACATGTTGGTCGGAGTCTACATAAAGCGCTACTCAGATAATAATATACACGGTGTATATTCTACTGGAGTTAGTATAATACCGTTTTAGTACGGAGCCTACATTAACCGCTAGAAGTATATATATATATATTAATATATATATATAATATATATATATATATATATATATATATATATATATATATATATATATATATATATATATATATATATTAAAAGACTTTATTGGTGTTCTTAAGCTTAGTAAACAGTACACTCTGGATACTTTGGGATATTTACAAACGTAGATATTTTCCGTAGAATTACATAAGAATGTGGCAATTTGTTTTCCTTCACTTCATCCTCCCGCCTTTTCCATAGCTTTTCTTTTGGTCTCTTTGGTCCCGGCATGTTATTTTTAGTCCCTGCATTGCCAAAACGGGCTGTTTTTGGCAGTCTTTTAGTCTTCACTTTCACTACATGACCCTAAAGTTTAACAAATTCTGTTAAACACTTGATAAAGTTCATGGTTGTACCTTCATACTGCGTTTTTAGTAATAGATCCAAATATCTGTCTTAAGACTTTTCTTTCAAAGAATTTTAGCTTTGGTTTTTTGTATTCTGTTATCACCCATGTCTAGTATCCATAACATGCATACATCCGATAATAATTTTGTAGGCACTGATGTTCGATCTCCAGTGTGTGTTTGTGGAGCGGAACACATTGGGAGTGAAAAGTAAGCTTTGTTTTCCTTTACTATTTTTCTTTGAATTTTTGGTTCTTCTATTCCATCCGTGTTTAATTTAACTTTGAAATATGTGAAACCTTCTACAGTTTTAATATCATCCTTTAACTTAACTTTTCGTTTGTTTCTCCTAGCTCTTGCCTGTGTTAGTTTTTTTGGATTTTGAATATTTATTGCTAGTCCAATCTCTTCTGTCCCAGTTTTAAATTTTTTTCTGCAATTCATGATGCTAATGTTTTCGTTATAGACAGCAATCTGTATTGATCTAGTTGTTAGATTATGTCTTCCTATATTCATATTCAGCTTATCATATATTTCAGAGTCAGGCTGAATAGTGTCGGTGTCAGTTCGTCTCCTTGTTTTAATTTTTTGACTTTTGAAAACTTCTCAGTGAGCTTATTTTGTATTCTGACAGTTGCTGTTGATGAATCCGTTGTTTTTTTTTAATAGTCGGATGTATTTTTGTGGTCTGTAAAAGCTATACAATATTTGATATCATTTTTGTCTATTCATTAAGTCGTAGGCCTGCTTGAGATCTATAAATACTTTGTGGACGTCAATATCGTGTTCCCACGGTTTGTTTAGAATTTACTTTACTGTGAACTGCTGGTCAGATGTAGATCTTAGATCTTTGTAAATGGGTATATTTAAAAACCCTTAAAAGGGGTTACATCAATTATACGAACGTTTTCGGAATAAAAATTCCATCATCAGGTTTAAATTGCCTAAAATAGGTTTAAACCATTTAATTAAAGCAAACGTGGTTTAAAATTTTGACTAAGGTTAAAAAAGAGGAAAAATGGTTATACTTACAAATTGACATACCTGAGCCACGAAAATATCAGGGTAAAGCCCTTTAAATTATATATGTTTACTACAGATTGTACATAATGTTGTTGATCACATTTGATGTTTGATATTAATTTAAATTTGACTTCAGGTAACATACACCCATGTTTTAGGCGAGTTTTAGTGGCCGGAGAGTAAACCTCTTTAAACGGGCTCCAGCTGGTAACTGATTGCCAAAATACTTATGAACGGTGTCGAAAACAAAATATCAATGCACCCTGAAACAATGTTAATTATACATAGTATTACTACTGTTTGATCAGAAAGACACTCGTTTTTGTTTATTGTATTTTTTGTTGTTGATAACTCTCGATTTGTTATTATGGTTACGTACAAAGTGGCGCCAAATATGAATATTTAAAAGTGTTCTTAGGAATAATTAAAATACGTGTGCATTAATTTAAGATTATACAATTAATAAAAATCATTCATTTAATTTCAATGAAACTAATATATTAAGCCGTGAAAACCAATTAAATAAAAGAGAATTCCTGGAAATGGTATGCATAAATAAATATCACTGCTTTAATAAAAAAAACTAATATTGATAAACTAAGCAATATCTGTCTTACGAAAATTAATACTATAATTTTCTAATATTGTATTTTCTGACTATAAATACTATAATTTCAAAAAAATTAAATGGCGCCACTTTGTACGTAACTATAATAACAATCGAGAGTTAGTTATCAACAACAAAAAATACAATAAACAGAAACTAGTGTCTTTCTGACATAAATCAAACATCATTATAATAATCAATGTCATACTGAATATAAACACAATTAAATTAAATTAAAATATTGTACTTACATAAGTATATAATTTGAATAAGTTAAGTTTTAATGTTTAATGTTTAATTTAAAAATTTAATGGATTAAACTCATGTTGTAAGTTTTTATATTAGTTTTATACAATGTTTTTTAATTCTAAATTCATTGTATTTACTGATACCATATTTTAGCATATCTTGAAGAAGCAAATAAATTTTGCGAAAGCTAGATAAACGAACAAAGAGTTTCACTTATCCTGCCCTATTAATGACTATAAACTCAAAATAAAACTTTATATTATATATATATATATATATATATATATATATATATATATATATATATTTATTTATAAAGAGCAACGACTCTGAAACTCAATCTATCTATCTATCTAATTATCCTTCCTCGGTGCATCTTTGGACATAAGCATTGCCACTCATTTTTGATTCTTCTCTGTCTGTCGCTATAGTCATCCACCTAGAACCCACGTGCTTCTTGATATCATCTGCCCATCTCATTTGGGGCCTTCCTCTGCTTCGGTTATATTCCCACAGTCTCCAACTTATATTAAGAATTTTGTTCCATCGGTCTTCTTTTTGTCTTATATTGGGTACGGCAAATCTCCATTTCAATTTTGTAACTTCTTGTCTAACATCCCTCAATTTTGTTTTCTCTCTTATCCACTTGTTTTTCTTTTTATCCATTTGTCTGATGTGCAACATTTAACTTTCCATTGCTCGTTTTTATGATTTTGCCCATGTTTGCTTTTGTAAATGTCCATGTTTGGGAACCATAAGTAAGAACAGAGAGTACACATTGATTGTATGCTTTGGTCTTAAGATGCTGTGGATATCTTTTGTTTTTAAGAAAGTAGCTTAGTTTGCCAAATGCCGCCTATGCCAGTCTAACTCGTCTTTATATCTCTGCTGTTTGGTTTTCTTTCTTAAGTTTTATAGTTTGACCCAGATATATATATATATATATATATATATATATATATATATATATATAATCCTGAACTTGTTCTATTTCATCTTGTCCAATTGTCATTGTGATGTCTTCATCTGTATTTGTTATGGTTTTGGTCTTGCTGTAATTCATATTAAGGCCTATCTTTCCAGCTTCTACGTCCAGTTCTTTCATCATTTCAAATAATTCTTCTTTTTTTATCGGTTATCAATACTATGTCACCAGCAGATGATTTTTATACCTTTTTCTTTTCATTCTAATATTTTAAAAGTATCTTCCAGGGCCTGATTGAAAAATTTTGAAATCTATGAATTCCATGTATAGGGGAATGTGGTATTTATTTTCTCGTTTTATAAGTATCTTCCTACTTAGTACATGGTCACTTGTGCTGAATCCCTTTCTCAAACCAGCTTGTTCTTTCGACTGGTATCCGTCGAATTTTGTCGTCCAATCTATTAGTTCAATTTTTTGTTAGGACTTTCTACTATTTCTACTATTTCAGATTGACATATATATATATATATATATATATATATATATATATATATATATTTATTTATTTAATGATATAATAAACATTCTCTACTAAGCTTATTTATTTATTCTAGCTTTGGCCAATGCAGATGAAGTTTCCGAAAAGAGAGCAGGTAATAAATTTTTGTACACATTATAAATATTAATATGGTAAAGAAAGTAAATCTAAAACAATAATTGGCACATTTGCAGATGATAATACAATATTATGTCTAAAGATGATGCTTAACAAATAGTATAAAAATAGATATTAACAATGTTGTTAAGTGGATCAAAGATTATAAAATACAACTTAATAGTTCGGAGTCAATCCTAGTCAATTTTATGTTATAATGAGCCCTCGGTATCTCATAAAAGATGTCAATTACCTCAAACAAACTAAGCAATCTACTTCAGACTTCATCTGGATAACATTTTTTAGTATAGTCTAGTATATTATTAAAATTAACCTTAATTAATTAAGTAAATCAAAGTAGCTGTATAAAATCTAAATATTAATAACAAATAAACGAAATCTTTTCGATTATCTTTTTGCAATAATATTTTTCGATATGGTCAAAAACAAAAGTACTTTACTCTTTAGGAAAATTTATATTTGTGGAAAATAAGATTATTTGACTTCTTCTAAAAAACATGTTTTTGATTTTTATTAATAATAAGGTCTTTAAGTCACTCTTAACTTATATACCGCTTGTAAACGATAAAATAAATTACATTTCTTAAATATAATGATTTCTAAAAACGCCAATATACGTAATTTTTTAATTTTAGCGCTTTATAATTAAACAAAGTAATATATTGTAGATAGTAATACACTAGTATAATAATATCAAAATCACATCTTTTAAATGCACAACTTTGTATCAGATAGAACATTTAGATGATTCTTAACGAGCAGATTTTTACAATAAAATCAAATATTTAATCGCCACTCAATATCTCAGTTATCAGCTTCTGGTTATCCTTTTTTATGAAATTGCTTTCCAAAATAGACCACAATGTTTCAATTATCAACTTCCACCATTTTAAATTATTTTTTTTTTCGTTTAAAATTTATAATTAATTTTTTTTTAATATTATTTCTTCTTTATTGTGATTGACTTTTACTATTAATAATTTATATATTATGGTTTGTTTAATTTCTTTTCTATAAAAATTTAAATGTCCACTTTCAGTTCAACTTCACCTGGATTCACTGTACCATATCACTTATATTCACAAAATTTCCAATATAACAAATTTACTCATCTTATTCTATTTATAACATCATAACTATCAAAATAAAAAAATACATTGCAAAAAAAACTTTTAAATAAACTATTATGCTCAATATGCTCATTTTTAAAGATGCACTCATATTAATACTTTTTATAATATTCTGTAGTATATAACTCATAAATTACTTCTTTTATCGCCTTTTAAGTTTATTCGAGGTTTCTAAACGTTTTGATTACTTTCCTTTCTCTGATATGTTTAATTATATATATATATATATATATATATATATATATATATATATATATATATATATATATATATTACATTTACCTCATCAACTGTATTTATTTTATTAACAAATATGTCCTTAGTTCTTAGAAGGACCACCAGACAAGCCCTAGGATCCATGGGAGGTTCATTTTTAGCACAAACTGAGAGGAATATTATAAACAATTGTAAGAAAAATGGACTATCCTCTTCAGGTGCCGACGATTTGCAGGTAAAATTTTAAATATTAATTCAGGAATTTCAAAAAAAAAAACACTGAAAATTGATTTTTTAATATAGTCATAGCAGATAACGGAATGATATGTGCTTTGGTTGTATTAAGGATTTAAATCATTGTTTATATATTTGAAAATTTATTCGAGTTTTACAAAAATTTATTCGCTGTAGCAGAACCAATTTAAATTCGTTCAAAAAATTAGAAAAATGTGCACTGCTAGAATCTTTGTAAATATCTAGCTCTAGCAGAAAACTGGAACAGTGATTTTCCCCTTATAACTTGTTAATATTATCAAATTTGAGATTTTTGTTTACCGAGATTTTATGTCATAAATTTGAAAAAATCGTTATACCTTTTGTTATTTTAATTTCGGATTTAATTCTTTTTAGATTTATTAAAATTTTTTTACAGTTTTGTCTTCGCATTAACTTTCTATAACTTTGTATCTATGTTGGGTCTGTGATATTTTTTATAATGACTACATATTTTATAAGTATCTGCTCGTTACGTTTTTAACATTTATCCATTTATTTTTATTAAATGCAAATAACTTTATCCCAGTCGTGCTACATAACCCTAATTTATCTCCTAGCTTAAGCCTAAGTTTACTGTTTGCAATCTCTATGGAATTAATGGAGAAAGTATCTAAATTTTTTTCCTATAAGCTGCTTTTTGTTTTAGCAAGCAATACAAAATCGTGTCTATATGCTAAAAGCTCTTGATATATATATAATACTTAACTTACTTTCTATGGCTAATTTTCTTTTTTGATTACCCACACAAAGACTAGATACGACAAGAATGTTAACAGTGGATTACCTGGTTTCATCACTTCTTCCTTGTAACTCTTGTGATGTGTTTCCATTATTGTACATTGTACATTTATCTCTGTTTAAGTTTATTACTTTAAGTTTTCGGTCCAAATTGTGTTGATAACTAATTCATTTGATACGCTATATACTATAATTTCGATAAGTACTTAGCCGACAGAAGAAAAACAAAAACTTTCAAAAAGTGATGATTTATTGTTCAACAGAGTCTAATTTTTAGCTCGTTATACTTGACCCAGCAATGCTCCAACTTATGTATCCCATTTGAAACGTACGAGAATAGTCACCGTATACAGTATCTTTTTATTAAGCTTCGCGATATCACTTGAAATTACAAAACCGATATTGCTAACTATTGAATCCCCGGCCGATATTGCTCTTTTTTCATTCTTCTAAAATCCGCGGACAAGTCCGCTTTTACACGTGGTCGAAACAAAACTACGAGTCCCATTCGGCTGAATTTTTGACATTAACCGTCTATCTAGAATCTAAAAGCATCATAATTAGTTGGTCTCAGCTCAAATTTACTCTAGTTAAAATATCAATTTATTAATTATTTTTAATACTGTTACGAAGCTTAGTCATAAAATTGGTGGAACCCAAACAAATTATTTGGTTTGTGGTTTTGATCGACTTAACAATTGATGAAGGGTTCCATCATCCGAACTACTAACAAATAAGCCTAAGAACAAGATTTTCTCTTAGTAAACTTTTACAATAGTTTAATGGTTCCTCATTAATGGGATCAATAATGGCGTGGGGTACCCGTATCAATATTTAAAAGAAAATCCGTATTTTACATAAAACTAAGATATAAGTTCTAGTTTTAAATCTTCGATTTAGAATGTTAAAATGATATGTATTCAGTACTTTGCTTAACAGTGTTGAGGCATGGACTCTTAAACAGAGGAATATTAAAAATCTTTAAAGCTTTGAGATGTGGTGCTACCGCCGTATACTAAAAATAAGTTGCGTGAATAAAATTTCAAATGAAGATGTAATACGCAGAATAAATAACGATCCAGATGTTATCATGAATATAAAAAAAAACTTGAATACTTAGGCCACATGATAAGAGGATAAAAGTAATTCCTACAAAATATAATGCAAGGAAAAATCCAAGGACGCAGACATCCGGCCCGTAGAAGAATGTCCTAGATGAGAAATTTAAGAGAGTGGTATAGCTGTACCACTAAAGAATTATTTAAAACTGCGGTAAATAAAATTAAAATCGCCATAATGATATCCAATCTCCGATAGGAGAGGCACTCAAACAAGAAGAAGAAAAAGATCTAAGTTGAATATTTAAAGTATATTTTGCCTAACTTTTCATGTTAATATTAATTGACTGTAAAAATCAGCTATCCCTTATTATTTGTACGGAATCCATTATCAAAATATATTATTATTTACGTGCTATATGTAAAATTAGGGTAGATGTATGTGTATCTAATTAATATATATCTTACTCTTTCTCCTATTTTAAACTACTTTTGCTTTAGGTTACTTATAGTAAAATGAAGAGTTGTATGTCCAACACCAAAATTTTTGAAACTCCTAAAAATGAATTTATTAGCAAAATGGTTGAGTGCAGTCGGGCCGCAATTAAAGACACTAAAGATTGTTTGGCTAATGACCAAAAATATTTCCCAGAATTCGTATTGGATCTTGCAAAATCGATGGTTAATTATATGTACGACGACAAAGATCTATTTAAAGGTAAGTGGAGTAAACATAAATACATAATATCTTAATCCTAATGGAAACAATCTTACATATCAAGAATCTGTATCAAGAGTGTTTGAGTAAGAGATAGTTAAATACAAACATTCATTTTAAATAAGACAATTTTTAAAACTTTTTTTAATATATATATATATATATATATATATATATATATATATATATATATAAACAAAAGTTTTAAAAATGGCCACATTTTGAAATTGCCCTGAAATGGTAAGTTTTCGAGATCAAATCAGAAGTGCAGAGAATGCTAAGAATCTGCGGAATCTAAACCGCTACCCAAGAAACAAACGCTTTAAAAATATAAAATGGAATGTCATAGGAATTAACGAAGTAAGATGAAGAGCTATTGGATTTAACGTCAGGAAACACATTCTTCTACTGATGAACATCAACTGGCAGAATAGGTGGTATTAATTTCTAATCAGCAAGAAATAAAAACATAGAGTGGTAGAAATAACTAGTTTTTTGAAGTAAAGTAGCTTGTTTAATCATACAACTACCAAAATGATACAATATACAAATAATTCAATTATACGCCTCGGCAATTAGTCACACTGACACAGAAAAAGAGGAACTTTATAGTAATATAACTAAATCATCAAATAACAATAAATGTCACTTTAAGTATTTGGTTGGTGATTCAAATGCTAAAGTGGTAAAAAGAAGCTACAAATAACAAATTATACGAAACTATGAAGTCCGTGAGAGAAATGAAAGAAGAAAAATGCTGGTTGAGTTTGCGCACTACCAAAAAACTAGTACAACCTTTAAGAAAAAATCAAACAAAAAATGAACTTGTGTAGCACTAAATGCTACCACTAAGCATAAAATTGACTTTAGTCTAACCAACATGTCACAGACAATAAAAGATATCCGTTAAATAAATAAATGTTAAACAGGCAGCGACCATACACTAATCAGAGCAAAAGTATTTCTAGATTTAAAACTAAAAACTTCTAAATTATTTACAAAACCAACAGAAATTGGTATAAATATTACCAATCTAAAATAAAATTTAGATCACAACCAAAGGACAATTTATTAATAAAAGACTACATTACCAAATCGACAGCTCTCAATTATTGAAAAATATCACCGATAGTGCCAAAGAAATCTAAGGCTCCCATCAACAAAAGAACCAAAGAAAACTGTCTAATAAAACCAAAATATTTCTAAAAGTAGAATCAACAATTACAAAAATGAAAAGCGGTAAAGCAGCTAAAATGGATACCATAGCAGTGGAATTTATTAAATGTGCTGGCAAGCTGGCAAAATAACCTGGAAAATATTAGCAGGCATATTTACGAACAGCATAAAAGCAATATACATACCACACCATTATAATAGAGCAAACCTAAGTCTTATTTGGGGATATAAAAAATTACAGACCTTTTAGTCTATTACCAATCATATACGAGATATTTGCAAAGATCATTAACATATTAACAAATGAATTAGACGTTGCACTGCCAAGAAAGCAAGCTGGTTTCAGAAGTAGATTCAGTACACTGTATTATGAACTAATGAGTTGAGCTAAAATATATGAAATATCACTGGCAATAACCTTTATAGATTTCAAGAAGGCTTTCGATTCTGTATATTAAAAGGCAGTAATGGAAACTCAGATCAACAAATAAAAGCTAAAGTAGAAATTGATGAAAATACTCGAAAATATCCCATTGCCAGAAGTCCCTGACCCGAAAACTCAATATCACCAAAGCTCTTTACTGTAACTTTGGAAAATATATTTAGCAGCAAATAAACTAACAGGACAAAGACCATTGATGGAGAATTCCTCAGTAATTTTAGATTTGTAGGCGGCATCGTTTTGATTGTTTATAATACTGCAGAATTACAAGAACTTAAATGCAACTTGATAGCAATTAAGTTGACCTAAAGATAAACTAATTGTATATTAAAGATGAATAAAATAAAAACCGTGTACAACGACTTAGCAAATTTATCAGAAATAAACAGAATCAAGCTGTGTTGGGTCACTTTTGGTAAAAATGCAGCTATATTTAAATTGAAGATGCCACTTTATCTAAAAAAAAAGCATTCGACCAGTGTAAACTACAATTCATGACATACTGCTGCGAAACATGGACAGTCATGAAAGAGATAATAAACTGATGCAATCCATAGAATTAAATCTTTAAAATGGCAGTGGGCAGAACATTTATGGAGAAGAACTTACAATAGTTGGTCTGCTAGAATCACACTGTGGTATCCAACAGGCGTCGAGACAACAGGAAGACAACGAGAAAACAAGCTCGTACCATATGGCAGAGAAAAGTGAATATACGACAATCGTTGGCAGAAAATAAGAATGAGTATATATGAAAGGATGCATCATAATCGTTACAATACGTTAAAAAAAATGATGATAATGGCTTAAGATACAACTAATTTTATTTCATCTTTTTACGTTTACGAAAAACATTTTTACTTTTTTCAGAAATTGTTTCTCAAAAATTTTGAAATTGCGAAATAAAATTAATTATAAATTAGTGTTAATAAGCGGTAGGACATAATTTAATAGCTAGCGACTGGTATCAAATTCTGATCGTACTCTGATGGAAAGATGTAGCAAAAGACAAAACAGAAACACAAAAAGAGGAAAATAAGGAAGCAGGCGTAATCCTCAATGAAGCAAATTAGGTTGCAAACACATCAATAGATGTGCAAGGCAGCAAGATCTGGCTAGCAATATGTACTAAAAGAACAAGTTATCGTTAGGAGTACGATAATCAGAGGATTAGAATTTTCGAGTCTAATATTGTAGACATTCATTATAAATCTAAACAAAATAAAAAATTTGTGTAATTTTCTTAATTTATTCACAATTAATTGTGATTTACTTCGATTCAACAAATATCTATAAAAATGTAATTTACAGAAATTTATTACTGGTAAAATGGTTGATTAAATCTTTTTTTCCATTTTAGATTCAGAAATTGTTGGTTGCATAAATAACTTGGGTAGGTACACAGTACAAATTGAGTATATTAAATGCTTAACCACTGTGTCCCAAAGAACCGGAGACGATGAAAATATTCCTACTTCCAGACAAGAATTCTGCAGGTAAATATATTGCACCTAATGGTCCTATTATTAATTTACATATAACGTAATATACTTAAGTAAGATTACCTTACACAATTAATAAATGGTTAACCATTACATGTTTCATACGCAGGTGGATCACTTTTGGCAGTAAATATGAATGAGTAAGTCTCGTGCGTCCAATTCGTAATCTCGTCATCACCAATTGTTCTCTTCTGTTCCCAGTTAAGGGTTCCCAAGCTAAAACGTCATTTTTAATTTGCTTTAGTGATGTTTGAGAATATTGCCATTCGTTTTTCTCTTTGCACAAAACTCTATTCTTTATAAACGCTTTTATATCACTCGGGGTGTTTAGATACTCGGCTTTTTCTGATCCGCAATTTCGTTGCCTGCAATGCCAATGTAGGATGGAATCCATATAAATCTGATACTCCTAGGATTTTCTTGAGCCTGCATGAGTTCTTATTTTATCAGTTTCTCAAGGTGATTTTTAGATAGATCTGTTTAAAGGTTTGAAGGGCGCCTAGTGAGTCACTTAAGATAACAGAGTTAGGAATGTTATTACAATTTATAGGCATAATAGCTTTGAGCACTGCATAGAGCTCAGCAATGAAAATTGGAAAGAAGGTTGGAAGACGAAATTGATGTGTATCGCTTGAGGTAACAAATGCAGTACTTACTCGTTTGTCACACTTGGATGCATCAGTAAAAATTTTTGCAACATCGTTCGTAATGCTGAAGGAGAAGATCTAGATTATTCTTGATCTATGCGTGACTATTAATATGTTTGTCAAATTGTGTGAGACTTGTATATATATTTTTAGCATTAATTATCTAAGGGAAGGGGCTTTGAATATTGATTGAAAAAGTATTTGGGAATCCGATATCAAGACATCTCAGGTAACACCTTACTTGCTTATATTAAGGCTTATGTTTGACACTATTGGTACAGAGATTTATATAGTTATTAGTAAACGTATTATTAAATAGAGGTTTGTTTACATTTAAAGCTAGTAAAGTTGCGTGAGATAGTGTTAAGGTAATTCGGAGGTGATATAATGACGACTTCCCACTTTCACAATATAAACTTTTCACCGGTGACACATTTTTGTTCTTATTAGAGTTCTGTAGCTTGTTAGTAAGATAGATTGATCATAACCCCAATATGTATTCGACAGTGTTCTTATTAGGTTAAGTCAATACTAATTGCTAATCTGTTCGTTCCAATTAAGTTGAGTATCAGACCATATACCTAAGAATTTTACACATGATTTGAAGGATAGCAATGTATTGAAAAACTCGAGATTGGGATTATTTGAGAAGCTTTTTTTTAGAATACCATACTTACTGTTTTGGTAACCAAGAATTGAAAATTGAAATATTAGGAGACCGCTTTTAGAGTTTTGTAAATGCCATATTTATTTTTTTTTGGCTCTACCTTAAGAGAAATTATTGTCATGTACTGTTATCTTTTCTTTTCGTTTCAAATTCGTTTGAATTTGTTTCTTGAAGACATATTTTATCGGCAGAAATAGGTTTTTGCGAGGTTGGAAGTCCATGGAAACATACATCTATACTTCATTGCAGCGGTTTAGTGAATTATGTTATATATATATATATATATATATATATATATATATATATATATATATATATATATATATATATATGAAAATACAAATTTACGGGCTAACCTGAGATGACTCGTCATCGGATTCATAGATGTTGGTACCCAAGTGTCGTAGGATTTCTTTTTTAAGAAGATGATATAACGTTTGGTTAATCTATCTTTTAATTGCGGATGCACTTTCGTTAGCATATGAACTAATCTCAGGAGGTCAGAAGTAAACTCTTGAATTATGTTTAGATTTTAGAATTATATTTAATTGGTCAAATTTGAGAAACAATATGGTTAAATTATTTTGAATAAAATCTTTGGCAGGCTCACTGTCACATGATTTTGTTTATTTTATGGATGTATGCACGTTGTTACTTATAACCTTCTTAAATCTAGGTTTATATGTAGGTACTGCAAATAATTTTTTTGTATGACTTGTTTGTGGAGACGTAAGAAAATCATTGATACTACATTTTGGCTGAAGATCGATATTTTACCTTGCAGTTTTTCACGGTGTTAACTTCTCTCTGACTATTAGCATTGTAAGGATTGCTTAGATTATTTGCTGATTTTTTTTTGACGGAAATTTGTTGGGTTGATATGGATGTTGCTGCAGGTTGAGGCATGATGTAAAGGAAGGAAAGAGTAGTAGGTTTACTGTTATTAGAATCGGTTAAATTTGTTGTTGATCTCAGTTTGTCAGGACTGTTAATGACGACATAGTTATAGTTATAGGCTGAACTGACATATATTTGTCTTTGAAGCTCAAAATATGATTATACTTGGGAAAAGTAGAACTCGTTTTTAGAAAAGTGACAGGAGAGATTATATTAAGTCCAACACTTTGTAGATAATCAACTAACAGACTATGTGGTATTGTTGGACATACGTTTGAGAAAACAATACGTTCTGCTGGTAATTAGTCTTCTAGCTGGTACAATATTGCTGTGGATTTTTATTTGTCCTTGGTTAAGAGAAAGGTTTGAATTAAAAAGTTTTCATTATCAGGAATAACATATGAGACTCTTCAGAAGCCAGTTATGTGTGCATAATCATCAGTAAGTAAACCACATTTCATGAATAAAACAGGAGAAGTTATGATGTAATCCGATATCCTTAAGTGCCTTTTTGATTATGAGGTGCGGTATTGTGGGAGATATATTTGATACGAGAATACGTTCAGCAGAGGTAATAAGTCTTCAGTTAAGAACAACTGATAAGTTGATAGTGACACTTTGGTGAGCACTGAGAAGTTCGTCTACTACTACAACGGAGAATAAATACACATGCGATCATTTGAAACTTAAGATGCAGAGGTGCTAGTTTTGGTAACAACAATGTCACCCACAGTGTTTATATATTTAAAAAGAATATTTGGAATATGTAAAATTTTAGAAAGAACATTTGGAATGTCATGGAATCATGCAATATTGAATATCAAAACCACTACACGTAACTTGGACCTACTGAGACGCAACAGGCGTCCCAGTAGGACTCTGTAGATAAAGTGATTGAAAAATAACAGTTATCTGATATAGTGGTACGCCACTGGATAATCAAATTGTTTAATTTCTATAGTTTATGATTTACAGTTTAAAAAAATTATAATACTAAATTTCCTTAAATATCACATAATGCTTTTTATTTACACACTAGGTAAAGCTAGTAATAAGAAAAAAACTCTCCAAACAAATGGTAAAACGGTGTTTACTCGTTCACTTTCTAATTAGGAATAATTTTGCTTAAATTCATTTTTAAACCAACCTTGTCAGATTTTTGTTTAAGCGTTTTTAATATGCAGAGTAGTTCCTCTTCTTTTTTAGCTTATGAGTACTATGTCATCGGCAACTCTTAGATAACTTAAAAATTTGCTATCGATTTTAATTCAGCATTATTTCCAATTTAATTTTTTATATATAAATGATATACAAGAACAAGTAATAGACGCGTTTACCAAAACAAAGTAAACGCGTTAACAAAAAAACGATTTGATTAATTTTTTTTACTTTTTTTAGAAAATTCATACCAGCCACTGAATGTTTCCCAGACACACTTAAACATAACTGTGCAAGTACTACAAAGATCAACAAGTTCTTCGACGACTACAGTAATGCTATCGCGTCTCCATGTCAAGGGTCATCTATAGGTGTTAAAGAATCTAACTATCTTTAAATCCGATCGAAAATCCTGTAAAGATTATTGTAAGAAAAATAATAAAAATTAATAAAACCAGTTTTTTATTTTGTTTTGATGAATAAAATAAATGAAATGAAATAAAAATTTGACAATACCATTATAACTTAAATATAGAAATATCACGTCTATCAGGAACGAACAAAAAGATCGGAGACCTTAGCGCAGTGCATCAATTCTCTATGCGTCTTATACGAATATCTAGGAAAAAGAGTGAACCGAAAGCGTATTTCTGGTATGAACACTTTATACCGAAAAAGTCATTTGTGTTTGTTATTTTAAAAACTAATTATTTAAAACTAATAGGTTTGATATAGCAAAAAATGTGACAATTTTGTCGCATGTGAAATATTGAAGAATCGGAAAACTCTGTACTAGGGTTTATCAGGTCAGCTTTTCTTCTCCCAACAATATTGATTTCATCAGCATAGGCAATCAGCATAGGATTTTCACTGATTTTTTATATATTGAACCAATGGGTGTGACTTGTAACATACGGATTACTTTTTTCAGAGCCATATTAAACAGTATACAAGAGATAGGGTCTCCATGACGAAGCCGGTTATTAAAAGGTTCAGACAGTTCTTTCCAAATTTGCACTCTATATTTAACTTTTTTAAGCTTAAGTTTTGTTAAATTTAACAACTGATTTGATATTTCTAGCTCTTTTATTGCTCTGAACATTCCCCTTGTATTTAGAGTCGTAAGATGCTTTGTAGTAAATATGTAATAAGTGTATGCCAAATTACAGTGTTTTTTCTAGAATTTTTTTTTGTGGTTGCAATCAGATGAATTGTTGATTTTCCTTCTGTCATCAAACCACCCTGGTATTTTACTATTATCTATTCTGCATATGGTGCCATACAGTGACATATTACTGTGGTCTTGAATATGTCTCATATATATATATATATATATATATATATATATATATATATATATATATATATATACTAGTATATACCTATACGCTAATATATATATATATATATATATATATATATATATATATTAGCCTATAGATTGTCGTTAGCCATTTTTGACTGTACCTTAAGTAAGACTGTTTTTATGTAAATGTTAAACTAATGAAAATTACATTTTTAATTAGCTAAAATTCGAAGTTTTGACTTTATCTTCGAAAAATGTTTTCAAAAAAAGATATTTGTTGAGTGTGTATAACCTTTTTGCTTTTTTTTTTCACTTTTTCTTTTTTATTTTTGCTTTTATTCTACTGAATATTCAGTCAGTATATTTGTGTTGTTAATGTTTTGCTCACTGTCGTGAGGCTGATAATATATCTCTAATATTATTATGGACACTACTTTTGTTTGAGCAGTAAATGAGTCAAAGTTGTGGTTATGCCTTTTCGAAAAAAAAAAATTGACTTGCTTCTAGTTTGGCCTTAGTGTCATAGGCAACAGCCATCTGTGGTTGATAATATGAGGGTGGATTTTATGACATACGGAACTTTAAAATTGTAATTGTTATTATTCAGCTACTATAATATGGGTCTGTCAGGTCCAGAGAGCTCTTGGCAACCACGCACTCTCCCCACCTTAAGTTATTTTTGGCTGTGGCTCTGGTTATTCTCAACTTATTTGATCTAAAATCATGGTACAACGAAAATACTCTAATCTCTTTTCTTTGTATCATGAGTAAAGAGTACATATTTTTTGTTTGGAACTAGCGATTTTTATAGACGTAGCTGCGTGCACTAGACCCACCTATAGCAAATACGGGTTTTTTACATAATTATTGTGTTTAAGTTAAATATTATTTTGTATTAAGTTAATTTAAAATATCCCAATTTATCTTATTTAAAAATGGTTTTTGCATTTTGTACAAAATATTGTATGAATTCTCGTCGTTCCAGTTTAAAATGCCTCGAAGTAAACCTCTTACCTTTATAGCTATTGATAGCGTCAGCCTCGGCGTCGTCTTCAACTAATGTTTTAGTGAGTGAAGAGAAGATACAAGCAGCAGCCAATATCATCCAAATGGTCGCTGGCAGCGATCAAATGTATAGAGATCATGAAATTTTTGGTTATCATGATTTCGTCAGTAATATTGACTGGGATCGATCAGATAAAGAGAATATTCAAACTTTATCTAGTGAAGAGACCGGCCAATCTAAAAATAAAGATGAAGTCGATGAAGAAAAACAAAGAAAATACTACTACATAAAAGACAAAAGAAAATAATCGAAAATTCTCTCAAAAAGAACTAAAGCTCAAAAACTTAAGAGAATAAGAGAATATTGTGACAGTTTGCATGGTTTATAAGGTGCCATTCGTGCTAATTCTCCTGACAGTATTATAGACGCTTGGAAATTTCTAATTACTCCAGACATAATTGGAAGAAGCAGTGCTTCGGACCAACGAAAGAATTAGGGTTATCATATAGCAATATGCGACATTGAAACGAAATAAAAATTCCAGAAAGTTATTCGGTCCTGCTTTTATATATCCTGTTGAAATTACAGAAATGGAAGCATTTATGATTTTACTCTATATGCAAGGAGTATTTAACTCTGGACACAAGGACTAACGTTCAATTTGGGCAACTGATTGAACACCGCCATCTATTTCGATGTACATGTACCGGGTGGTCCAATAAGCCGATCGCTCGGCTATATATCAGAAACTATTCATGTTATAACTTGGGGAGAAAAAATTCCTTAGTAAAAGTGACCAAAAGAAATCGCTGGAAATAACTTTCAAGTTTCTAGGTTAACCGCTAGGGGGCGTAAACTGTGAAGAAAAATTTGAAAACCAGTTTTTTCTAAAATATGCCCAATTATACCAAGTGTTAAATAAGTGAACTAGAAAGAGGGCTAAATTCCGCACAAAGTTATTCAAGTACTTTTTTTTATTTTTTTCAAATAAAGGGTGGATTAGGGTGGCAAAGTATTTGTGGAAAAATACCTATAACTTTGGTTTGAATCAACCGATTTTAACGAAATTAGTGTCATTAGAAAGAGTGTGGATAATTTAACCTACATCTACTATAAAACAATTGTATTTAAATTTAATTGTCATGAGTAGAGGGTACTTTCAAATAGAAAAAATTAAAATTTGTTTTTCTTTAAAATGCTTAATGGAAACACCTATTTATTGTTAATTATAACTGAACTGGATTAAATTCGTAACAAAATGGCACAAACCGCATGTTGATAGCTTTTGTCAAACTCGAGATATGAATAAAAACGCATAAACATAAGTATAGTATTGACTCACCTGTATTATAAATTAAATTAAAAAATAAGTCAGTAGGTACTTTCAAATTTTTTTATAGCAGAAGAATCTTAATATTGATATCCATTTTGGCCATTGTTATTTCAGATGATTAAAAATAGTTTTTTTCGAAACTAAGTAGGCTACGACAATGAATTTGACGGGGAGATCATATTGTTTATTTATTGACAGCAGTCAAAACAAGAACAAGAAGTGTTATATTATAATTCAAATTAAAGATTGCACTTTTTCAATAGATATTAATATTGGTAATATTAGTAATTAATTATCAGTACTAATAATTCAGCATGAGTATATCCAATGCAGAATTGTATGATATGATTGTAGTTTATTTCGAATGTCACCAAAATGCCGCTATTGCCTCACGTATATATTCTGTAAGATATCCTGACAGGAGACATTAAGGCAAAAAAGTATTTAAAAGAAAGGCAAGAAGATTAAGAGAAACTGGTGGTTTTCATCGTCCCTGTTTTAAACGACGTAGTAGAGGTATGACCGAAGATAATTTAATCAATGTTCTTGCTTTAATTCAACAGAATCCACAACCAAATATAAGTAGTCGGCAAATTTCTATAGAATTAAACATACCCAAAACTACTGTTCTAAGGATTTTAAAACATCACAGGTTGGTTTTTCATACTATAAAGTGAACGTTTAGGTCAGAAACTTGGAATTCCCTTTAAACTTTAGATTCAATTGTTATTTTAATATTCCGATAAAAACGGCAACACGGCGCTTTTATCCTTTTATCCGTTTCCTAAAAATACTTATGCACGATTTATCTTGTGAAACAATTTTGGATTTTTTAAAATTTTTGAGTTTTAGTAAATGTAGTGGTTTCTTTTTCACCAATATTTGTTGTTCTGTTTTTTAGACTGCATCCTTATCATGTAGTTCTCCACCAAGCTTTAGGTGAGAGAGATTTTGATGCAAGGCTGGATTACTGCAATTGGATGTTAGGTGTGCTAGAAGAACAACCGGATATCCTGTCAAAGATTTTGTGGACAGACGAGGCTACGTTTAATAGTGCAGGTGGTGTTAATCTGCATAATATGCATTATTGGGCTGAAGAAAATCCGAAGATATTTCCTTACAAACAAGAAGAGATATGATACTACAACATGACGGGTGTCCTGCGCACTTTTCCAGACAAGTTCGAGATTATTTGTATGCAAGTTATCCAAATAAATGGATTGGAAGGGAAGGTATATTTTCATGGCCAGCTAGATCTCCAGACTTAACATGTCTGGACTTTTATCTGTGAAGAAGATTGAAGGACTTAGTGTACCAAACTTGACCAACCACACGAGATGACATGAAACAGCGCATTATAAACGCAATAAATAATATATCAACAGCTGAGATTGAAGCAGCTGTTATGTCTACGCGCGAAAGATTACATCTTTTGTGTTCAACGATGGAAAACAATTTGAACATTTAATTGGACATTAAGTTTTAATGATCGAGATATTTGTATATTCTTTCACATATTTAATTTTAAGTTATAATAAAGGATGAGTCAATAGTATACTTATGTTTATGCGTTTTTATTCATATCTCGAGTTTGACAAAAGCTATCGACATGCAGTTTGTGCCATTTTGTTACGAATTTAATCCAGTTCAGTTATAATTAACAAAAAATAGGTGTTTCCATTAAACATTATAAGAAAAACAAATTTTAATTTTTTCTATTTGAAAGTACCCTCTACCCATGACAATTAAGATTAAATGCAATTGTTTTTTTAGTAGATGTAGA